GACCAGACGCAGCTATTCTTTCTGCAAGTTATAGGTTAAAATCAATAAAAGTTGGAACAACAAAAGCAAAATTACTTTAAAATAATTCTAATATTCTTTATGCAGGATGACATCAAATTTGTAAAGTTTTTCCTACCTATTATCATCTTTATTTTTTATGAATTTATGTTCAAAAAGTTCTCTTGGTATGTAAAACAATTTTGTTTTCAGCCTCTTATAAAAATTAAAAAATGTATAAATTTCTTAACTATTTAAATATTGAAAAATCTTTTAAAATACTTTTGTTGATTTCACTATTACTAATTAATGTTTTAACCAAAATTTGTATTATTTTCCTATGTCCTTAAGTAAAAAATAATTATTAACAAGATTATGTGTTGAAAATTATGCAAGATGTTGCTAGTATGCATTACTGATAAAAACCACATTACTGAAATGTGAAATCACTGAAATTAATATTGCTCTTTTGTATTGCTTATTCAGCCTCAAATCTTATTTTAAACACTAAAATATCATTTCATGGAAATTTATTGCAGTATATATAAGTACATAGAAGATTTTTGAAAATATAAATAATGTAGGCAGGAATGGGATTCAAACCTATCACATTTCAAATACTAAACACTTCAAATACCTTGTGATAACAAATTGAGTATAGGAGATAAGGAAATTGTACATAGAATAGGTTGCACTAGGGGCAGTTTTACCTATAAATTCAAATTGTTACAAAACCAAAACATCAACCTAAAAATTCAAGTCATGATCTTAAATAGCCTCGTCCAACTGAGACTTTCATATGGATATCATGCATGGCGCCAAACAACTTCAGAAATACCTACAATCTAAGCTGTATATAACTACTTTCTCAGATCAATGATTAAAAATAGTTTCATGCAAATGAAGCTTGTTAGCTCTTAGCAAGGGCCATTCTTCTTCGAATCTTGTGGACTGGCATTACAGAATTACAAACAAAGAATTGTACCAAATAATAGAAATCACATTCCTTAAGGCCTTTCAATAGCAGCACATGTACCTCAAAGAAAAAATAATTACATAATCAAGATGTCAACATTCTACACTACTTCAAACAAAAAGTTAGGTAGGAAAATGCAATCAGTATTAGAAAGAACTAACATTTAGTAGAGTTGAGAAACCTATTTCCTGAAAAAATTGTTTTAAAAGAAAGATTTTATAAATTTCAACTGAATGTAGCACTGGCTACTCAATCAATGAATGCTAAATGTTTCCTTATAAGGAAACAGCTAATATTACCATCACCATAATTATATGTTTGTATTTATTGGTATCCTCACGAGGAAAAATATGACAGTGAGTCTGGTTTATTAAAGAGCCCTATATGCATATGGACACAGAGACAAAATTGCTTAGTCCCCATGCCCTATGTCATAAAGACATCAGAGTGACCCACAAATCTTCCTTTTATTGCCATGGACAGATGCTGCCCTGGAGTTGGAATCCACATCAGCTTCAATTTTTTGTCTCATCTTGCCTAAAGAAGCAGCATGATTCCATCACTTCAAGGAATAAATTAGGCAGGGGAATAAATGTGGCTCATACTTTTAACAATGTACTCAAATCTACCAGTTGTTAGTATAAGATGTTTCAGTTGAATAGCATTCAACCCAGCTATGTATATTTATTTACTAAAAGTATCATATTTTGGTAAATTTACTCAAAATTTGAGGGTACCCAGGGAGGATTGATATCACTAGAATAATAATGACCTGACTGTTATGAAATGTGATTTCCCCTGTATCTTCTCAGTTCAGCAGTAGCCGTTAATATCACATACCATATTCTACTCATCTTCTTACTGCTTGGCCACTTATATAATCTTATCATGCCTCCTACATTTTCTACACAAACCAGATGTTGACTGCTTGATGACCCAAAGCAGACTGCATAAATATGTTTGCTGCACATCAGCTCAATGCATACATCCACTTTAACTAAAACAACATTAATAATATATATACCAGTCATAGTGAATCCTGTTCAAAAACAAAATCTTAATTTCAAGCCAACTAAAAACTATATATATATATCCAAATTCAAACAGACCCAACACAGATCATCATTTGATATTAAGACCAACATGCTGAGAGGGAGATGCAACAGCAACAGATAGAAGTTACCAGTCTTTGTATATATGTAAATAAATTATACATTTATTCACCCCTACTCAATGCCCTCTTTCATTTGACACTTGGATTTATGTTTGCTGAGATGGAGAAGGAAGTAACAACAGTAACAACAAAATTCTGCCTTCCAAGTTACCCATTTTCACATCCACAACAGTGTCTACACCTTATCTATGCTAATTAAGCAGTCATTTACATATCACTACACTGACACTAGCTTGCTACATGCTACTCCACAGCAAGACACTATGCAGATTGTATAGGTATTTACTAAACATAGTCTGGCAGAAGCCACACATGTGAGGCACCAAGTGAAAATCTAACTCATCATATTAGTAACAGCCTGCAAGACTACTCCTGATTACCAAATAAAAATAAAGGTTCTAATAAAAGGGGAGATCAAAATATAATAAATAGTAGGATTTGAAAAAATAAGAAAATCTAATAAATGAGGTTGGGGGCACTTCAATAAATGAGGTATTTAAGAAAAGATTAAAAACAAGTTTTTGAAACTATAACAAGACCTTGAAGAAAAACTAAAAATAAATGTCCATCAATGTGTTTAAGTAAAATGGTTTAATAACAATATTTCCATGAGGTCTTTCAAATATAGAATATAAATAAATGTCCATAAATTTTTTTTTAAATTAGTAAGCAGTAGAGTGGGGGGGGTAATAAGCTATCAGTGGTGTAGAAAAAAATTAAAAAATTAACAAGCGTGGCATTTATTTAGCACCCAAGAGTAGCTTGTTAATTTCTAAGCAACACTAAGGTATGCCATCTAACTATATATAAGTAATAGGATGTGCAAGTAGTATAATGGTTAGTGGTTTAGAATAAGAAACTGGCAAACAGAATTTTAATTTTAATTGAGTTCATTACATTTACTTTTGCACAAATATCCTTGAAAAAAGTATGAATCCATCTCTCCCACCAGCTATGAGTTAAATAGTAGAGTAAACTGAGTTCTTCACTCATGGTTAGCAATCAGTCTAGTAGGACAACTCTGAATGCAAAACAGTTGGGTATGGGGTATGGGGGCTGCAACTACATCCCATAAAAACCTACTTGTTACAATAAATACAGCAATAAGTCCTAACGTATTGAGAGATGTGGCCCCATGCTCCTCAGTGGAGTTTACAAGAAATGAGGGGATGATGTATAAGTATTATATGAGTCCATTTTCTTGATAAATGTTACAAAGTGGCATCAGTCCAGTGCTTTAAAGCATTACATGATTATTAAATATTCATAATACTAAAAGTACAAAGTTACTATTTGATAAAACAGGATCTTGATCAATAAACTGAGTGACAGCACTTCACTAAACAATAGAAAAATTCACACTGACCACAAGAGTCAGCATAGTTAACACTATTAATTATGTATGCATAGTAAAAATGCATTGAACAATAACTGGAAATTTTAAATTTGAATATAATTACATTAAATTTTTGATCAGGCAATTAAATCTTTTCATTATGAACTTATTAAAATTAACACAACATAAGGTGCACAATCCATAGGAAAAAGGGAAAAACCATATTCTCTAGGGGGAAAAAGTTAACAGAAAAAAGATGACCATTAATATAGCAACTGGATCAATCCATTGCAGCAGTTCTAGATGCACAAATGAATCCATACTGCCACTCCTGTACCCTGTGGTGAACTGGATCTAAAACTATTGGTTACCAAGAGACAAGAGGGGCCTACCCACAACTACAATGCTATCATTTAATTTTCATAATGATTAAATAAAATTTTCAAAAATACATCTGGAAAAAAAAGGTACAATTAAATTTTTTGTAGAAAAATGTGTATTTCTTAGTAAGTACAGTGTACAATAGATGCCAAATGTAAAAACACAATATTATAATTGATTTTTTTTTTAATTTTAAGTAATTGGTTTATATTTTTAAATAGTTTACCATGCAATTTATACATTAACAGCAGAGCATTGCATGCAATCCACTATATTAAGAGCAATAATTTATGTTCACTAAATGATTGTGTAAATCTGCCAATAATTACCTCTGCATCTGATTCATCTAACAATTCCTTTTCAATGTATGATTCCAAAATCTCCTCAATGAATTTCTTAACTTTGTTTTTATGATCTTTAGCTTTGAAAATGTCCTCTTACATTGGACTTCAGTAACTGATAGTGTGCAGATGACTTTATAAATTTCTTATTACTTTTTATTACTAAAACAGTTGTCTGTGTTCATTGGATTTTTATTTGATATATGGACCCCCACTTCATTAGGAGCTCACTTGCTATTGGGCAAGCTGACACCATGGCCAGTCTTCAACTGCCTGCACCCTTACAAACTATACAGAAGAATTCTGCTAAGTAAAGAAAACTAAATGGTATTGAAATTCATAGTTTGACTTATACACCTGGCCAATAAGTCAATATATGCTACCTTTCAACTTCTACACTTTCCAAGATGCTTGCTGTTAATTACCTGGACCTTAACCCAGAGATGATAACATGTACCCTTCTCACTTCAGATAGAGTTGATGTCAGAAGATTATTCCACTTCCAATATGGATTCTTCTATTATCCTTGTGTCTGATTTTAAAGGGACACCTGGTTTCACATTGCATGCTTTTCTATATTTCACATGTTATAAATGCAGTTTTTTATCAAATCCCTTTTTCTATCACCGTTTTCTCTTTTTATGAATTGTATACTTGACAATGGTGAAAGAATGGATCATTTGAAATTTTATGTTAATACCATCAAGCACACAAAGAAGGAGTTCAATTGTCAGAACAAAATCTGGAATGTTAATGACTTCTCAGAATTATAGACAAAATATTTAATATATTTACCTTCACTGTCTGAAGTAGTACGGCAGTTTTTAACTGTAGCACCACTTGATGGCCGAGATCCAGATTTGTCAGCAGGGAACGAATCCTCAATGATATAAGGATTATCACAATGGATATAAGCTTTAGCGTTCTTAGCAGAAACATTAAAATATAAGAGTCGATCAAATAAATGTTCTCGACTCTCATTGTTTAATTTGGAAGCGGTTTGTGAGGGAGATAAAAATACTTCATCATCATTATCATCTGTTTCAGCATCTTGAAGCATTGGAGATTTCTGGCGACTTGTAGCTTCTATCAACTCCTCAGCCAAAGATTTTTCTCGTGGTGGATTTGCAGGAACATCTGAAATAGGAAAAATAGTCAATATTATTATCTTATAATTTGTAAATAGCAATTTTTTTATTTGCCAAAATATGTGTCTGTAGCGCAAAAGCTCAGAAACTGCCTAACCACTTTTCATTAAATTATACATGTAGATTTTCTCTGATGTCTAATTAGACAGGAGTTATTTTCCGTTTTTAGTTGAACATCTTAGATGTTGAAACAAGGTAGTGATATATTAAAATGTATCAAATAAAACTTTTGATATTTAAATAATCTTAATTCAATACTTAATTGATTTTATCAAAACATTAAATAAAGTATTATACCACATTGTACATGTATTTTTTTTATTTAATACTATTAGAAGTGTTAATTTTATAAGCAAGTGAAATTTGATAAACTTTCTTCTATAGTACCTAGACATTATGAATTTAAGTGCAGTACTAGACTGACAACGAGGTCTTATCATTTCATAGTTGAAATAGCTAGATGTGATTCTAAGTTCTATGCTAATAGTTTTTTCTCTTGCATTTCTTGATTGTGGAACTCTCTTCTAGTTTGGTTTCTAGTGGCAACTTTGATCTTCAAATTTTTAAGTGCAATATTAATCGTTATCTCCTCTCTTCTTAATTCCTCTTCTTTTATTGTTCTCTCTCTTTAATAATGTTTTTTCTTTTTCTTTCACACTCAATAACCTCGTTTATTTATCTTGTCTCTGGAAAAAATTTTGAGTATAGTCTTTGCAAAGCTTGTTGATGTCCTAACATGTCTATACCATTTCAGTTTCATTCTCTCTACTATTAACAGTTTTTCCTCAGTTTTTGCTTGTACAATAATCATGTGGTGCACACTATTGGCTATATAGTTAGTAAAATTGATTAAAAAAGATTAGTTTATAATATATGTTGCTTGGATTTTCTTTTTTAAGTTCATCTGTCTGTGTTTCTATGTCTTGCATGTATACAAGTATTTTTATTTTTTTAATCATTTCACCACAAGTAAGGTGATAAAGCCACTAAGACACAAGGGGTTATAGACAATGAAAGGAACTAAGACAACATTATTGAGTAGAAAGAACAATAAAAGAACAGGATTCAAAAAGATAGAAAATGATGACTGACATAGCATTTAAATTTTTGAAGATCATAGTTAACAGGAAAGCAAGAAATTGGAAGTGTTCCACAGGCAAGAAATGCAAGAGAAGAAATTATGAGAAATTAATTTACAGTTACATCTAGCAATTTTAGCAGTAAAATGATGAGACCTAACTGCCAATCTAGTACTATGCATAAATTCATAAAGTTGAGGAAACAATTGCCATGAAAATATTTATGGAATAGACTCAGGAACACTATGTTACATCAGTGGAAAAGTGATTGGAACTGAGATAAAGTGAATAAAAATAAAATCGTGTGTGATTTTATTCAGATCAACAAAAGATTCTAGATTTTCCTATTTTGAAAATGTTTAACAAAATACTACACCCATTATTTATCAAAATACAATAGAAAAATATATTGGCAGTTTTCATAAAGATTTTGCCTCCTTTCTTTTGTTTTAGTGATAAGATAAAAATAGCTTATTGTATAAAGAATAGATGAATTTGGATGGAACTATTAATTCTGAGCAATACATTTTTTAATACTAAAGTTCACCCAATACAAAGCTCAAGAGCGACTCAAAGAAGGTTTATGAATGATGTGTAATAGGATGTAGTAAGAAGATAAGGAGGATAAATAATGATTGACCTTCAACCTGAAGAGGTTAAGACTGTAGCGTTTAGAGCAACATCCATGTAGGAGTCTGTTCACAAAGCAGTAATTCTTGGGAAAAAAGCTGTCTGAGTGAAACTTCTTCCTTTCTATTGGAACACAGAGGAAATGAGGATGATTCAAGTCCATGGACATAACATGTCATCCTAGCTGTAAAGGTCTAGTGGAACAAAGGAATGAACCTAATCTGAACATTTTCTATGAAAATAGCTTTAGAATAGTGATAGGCTTGTGATATTACATCTGCAGAAAAGCAGCTAAAGAGTGGAAAATAAGTCATCCTTCACAAGACTACATAAATAATTTTGAACTCTATCAAGGCTGGAAATCAAAGATTGAGCAGCACTAGCCCAATACTTTCCATTTTTGGTTTTATCTAACTCTTGTTTTGAATACTATATACATGATTAATGTTCAAAGAGAGAAATCAATAAAAGTGTTTTTAACACTTGTTAACAAAAAGGTCATGATGTTCCATTATAACAATCTTCACTACTATATATTCTAATAATGGTTATGACATTTTCAGTCATGCATCATATTGAACAAAGCACTGTCTCATTATGAGCTCTTCAGGTTGCTATAATGTCTGAAAGATGGTTCATATGAAGATATTTCAAAGGTTATTATTGACCGCTATGAATCCCACAAGTGTAATTATATAATAAAAATTCTTATATCAGAGAAAATTGGTGTTAACAGAGAATATTAAGTTAAGTATTCATGTTAGAATTTTTAAATAAATACTAGAAATTTTCTTGATATTGTCAGTGTTAAAGTAGCATGTGAAGTTATCAATTTTTTATAATCATTTTATTCCAAACAAGGCAATAAAACCACTAAGATGCAAAGGGTTACTGAGTGTTAGAGAATATGAGAAAAAAAACACTGTTAAGGAAGAACAATAAAAGAAAAGTATTAAGAAATTAGAAGATAATGATTGACAGTACATTTAAATTTTTGAAGATCAAAGTTAACTGGAAAACAAAAAAGCCAGAAGAGAGTTCCACAAGCAAGATGTATGAAAGAAGAAACTGTTAGAAGCAAGTAGACAGAAGTGAGAAGTGCAAGAAAAGAAACTGTTAGCATAGAACTTACAATTACATTAAGCAATTTCAACTGTAAAATGATAAGACATTGCCATCAATCTAGTACTGTACTTAATTTCATAAAGTCTAGGTACCATAGAAGAAAGTAATATTTATTTTTCATAATAAAAAATGTGGCACAAAGCCAAAAGAGAGTATAGGGGAAAGTTGGTATTCAATCTGTCTTATCTTAAACTGAGCTAGCAACAATTACTCACCCAAACATACCACATTCAAAACAACACATTCTTATTTAACATTCTTACTACAGCCACCATAATACCTCAAAGTCACTATGTAGTCCTAATTGGTTCCCATATGTACAATTTGTCTGGGAGTTGGGATAAAATAACAATATTTAAAAATGAAACCCAAATGAATATTTACAATGAATACAATAGAGGGAAGTGATATTTATTCTGTACAATACAGAAATGTGGCACAAGGCCGTAGGGGGGATTGGGGAAAGGACGGTCTTCTTCTGTCTTAACTATAACTTAGCTAGACGCAAATACTGACCGAAACGTACTAACAATATTCCTTACACCAAAACAACACATTCATAGGTACCTTTCTTACTACATCCACCATAATACCACATTGTCTCTATGAAAATACTAATTAGTCCCCATATTTACAATTCATTGTCTGTGTGGGGAGGGGAATAAAACAACAATTCTAAAAACTAGCCCCAATGAGTATTTACAATATGAATACAAAACTATTTACAAGAAACTAAAGAAAATAATATTAGTAATAAAAACCTCCACAATAGAGGGAAGCTCATCAGAACAATTACCATGAAAGTATTTACAGAAAAGGAGCAGGAAAGCTGTGTTATAGCAGTGGGAAAGTGACTAAAGCCAAGATGCCAGGTCAAGACCAATGACTTTGCAGATTCTTCTTTGGATTTTATCAAAAATCTCTAAATATATAGCAGGAGCACCAGACCAGATGTGGCAGTAATATTCAAAGCCAGGAAGAATGGTAGACTTATAAGATAGATTCTGACAAGAAAAATGTCTAGCACAACACAGGGAACCAACTTTCTTAGCAGCAGAACTAGCAATTGATTCAATATTACCTTTCCACTTGATGTCATTAGAAAACATTAGTCACTTAATTTTGTCTTATCAATATTTAACAGTGAATTGAAAAGAAATGAATATAATGAAGAAAAAGAAAGGGAAAATAGTTCATTTGAACTTTTTATTTTATTTAATGAGATAAAAAATCATCTTTTTCTAACCTTTGATAAGTCACTGACAAATAATGCTGTCTTTGTTTTTTTTCCACACATCAAAGAATGAATAACTCCTCAAATTCTGAGCTATTAATTTAAATTTATATATTTAAAACTCACAAAATAAAGCTGTGTCACTTCAATTAGTCTGTAAAGTTCAAAGAGTCTAAATGGATGGATATTACTTATTAGGGAAAGTTGCTTTATGCTTAAAAAGTCAACTAATCTGTATGATAGTTCTATAGAACTTTCTTTTAATCTACATTTTATTTATGTTTGCCTTTTAGTGTTTTCTTTCTTGTTCAGGATTTTTTCTTGTCTAAGGTATTAGGTTTTCTGGAAAGTTATCTGTTGGTCACACCAACATTGTTGGATTTATTTTTTAGTATATACAGGGTGTGATGGGTAAATTGTCGCCATTTTATATTTTTCATTTTGCACATGTGTGTTGTTTGTTTTTGATTTTGTTGACTGCAGAGTATAGTAGGGTCAGTTAGACACCATCTGTGAGAAAAAGAGCACCATGATACAATTCACTCTGCCAGAAATTTGGAAACAGTATGTGGTACTGGTTGGCACACATACCAGAAGCTGCAATATGAACATTTCAGAGTGTTTGGATGTCAATCTAAGGACAGTGGGGAGGATTCAGAAAGAGTTGGATGAGTCTAATGGTGATTATGAAAGTGTTTGGAATGATCACTAGTGATGGTGATGTTATACCTCCATTCATCTTCCCACAGGGTCTCAGACTCAACACAGAGTCTTGAGGAGATAGTGCTACCCTAGGTCAAGAAGGTGGCTGCTGGAAGACCCTAGCAACAGGACTCTGCACCAT